AGAGGAAGAATTCCCCCTTAAGCTCCCTTAATGGGAGTATTTATAGGCAAGGAGGGGGGAAAACAAGAAGATAAGAGAGGATGAGTGAATAATGTATGCCGCCCATGAAAACCAACTACTTTGCAGGTAGTCTGTGGAGGACGTTTGAAAGTGAATTGACGTTCGAACATTGTCTTCTGTTTTGTTTTAAGGGCGTTCGAACGCTAGATGGGATGTGACCACATCACTCAAGTGGTCGTGGTCTTCTATGGAAACCCACTTCCACACTCCATGTAGGGCTTGGAGTTTTGCACTTATCACTTTGATCTTTCTTCAAGTCATGTGGACGTTCGAACGATAGTTGACATTCGAACATGGAACTCCAGTACTTTAGGGTCCTCCTTCTTGATTACAACACGTCAGGTCTCAGCAGTCTAGTCTCCTCATAGTTTAAGTGGACGTTCGAACGTGGTTGCTGTGTCCGAACTTTCTCCAATTCTGTTCCCTAATACACTGGTATCACACTCAAGTATGATATTTGTTGTTCTTGAGCTTTTGTTTTGTAAATCCCCACACTTTTATTTTAATATGTAGCAAGTAAATATATGAAATTTTTTTTAATCGAACTTGTACCAACTATGTTTGATGTCCAAGTGTATGTTGTATAAGTTTGGGTTGGTTTTGGAAGGGTTTGGAATGGATTAAAAATAAAAAATAAAAAATAAAAGAAATAGGCAAAACTGAACAAATCGTACCAGTACTATGTACCGGTATGCCCGGAAGTTACCATACCGGTATGTTACTGTCCAGAGAGTTTATCGTACCGGTACTGCGTACCAGTATGTTCTGTAAGTTCCATAAATTTTAAGTCGCGATCTGAGGTCCATTTTTCACCCTATAAATATATAATGACGCCTCCATTAGCCCTATTTCAACATTTCTAACCCTAGGAAACCNAGATAGAGTACCTGAATTGTGTCTTTGACGTCCCAACATGAAAATTGTACGTGGATGGCATCTCCAACATGCAAAGAAGTGGAGTCGCCCTGATCCTGACCACTTCCAAGGGTACGATCTAGAATACGCACTAAGATTCGACTTCCTAGCCTCCAATAATTAGGTGGAATACGAAANATTAGCCCTATTTCAACATTTCTAACCCTAGGAAACCTTAGAGAGGAAGAAATAGAGGAAAAAACACAAGATCAAAGGGGATTTGCACTTTGGATTGGATCAAAGCCCTAGTTTTTTTTTCAAGAACACCAAGGTAGGGGTTTTCTTCCATTCATGTACATTGAGCCTAGGGCATTTATATGTATGTATGTTTTTACTCTCGATCCTAAGTATATATTATGAAATCCCTATCTCTTGATGCTTTTGTATTTATTATCATGTTTTAAACAAAGTTATAGTTATATAGCCATGAAATTTCTCCTCTTGACTTGAAAACCCTAGTTTTTGAGAAAAATGGATTTTTCTTCTTAATATTCCTTTGTTCTTGGTTTTTCAAACTCTAGTGCTTTGTTTTGAACAACAAAATAGTATTTGTGATGATCTCTTGCATATTTTCTTAAATTGTTCTATTGGAGAAGATACTTACGAAAATTTGGGAGTTTTTGATGTGTATGTAATTTGCGAAAATAGTTATTTTTGCATCTCTTGTATAGTTGTTGCGATGGACTTGAATTGTATTCGAGTATTGTTGTAGAGTGTTAGATGTTAGTCTATCCCAGTGGGGGGGGGGTGAGATGGTTGCCTAACACTTGTAGTAGATTGTTGTTTGTGAGAGCAATTATTATTGTTTACGTAAGTTCGAGGTCGAGGGATGGTATACCTTTCCTGGGAATGATTTGTCAATGCCATGGGAGACGGTATACACCCTTCCTAAAATATTTGGGATTGTGTGATTGTGATGGGTGAACGAGATAAAAGTCGTTGTGTAGATTCATGGAAAGCAACCAACATACATGAGAATATGGGATGAGGTTATTGTATAATTTATTGTTTTTCTTTAATCCTGACATGTTTATTCTTTTCAACTAACTTATTACCATTGCGTTAACTTGAAATCAAATAAACTGTCACTGTTTTACTTCAAGTTATATATGATAATTTAGAAAAAGAGACCGAACTATTTTATATGATTTTTAAACCTTGTTCAAGTTTGGGAGGATGTTGCTACAGAACTTAGTGCTCACCCCCTACAACATCATATTTTTCAGATTTTGCCTTAGATGAAAAACTCGGAAGTGAAGAGCATGTACAATGGAAAGCTCCATTAGATGGGCACGTGGATCCCGAAGTGGATGTTTAGGGTTGTACTCCCCTATGTACTAGACTAGAGAATTTCTTTTGAGACTATGTTGAGTCTAACCTTTTGTTATTCCACTGCAAATTCAAATTTGATTCTTTTAGATATAATTGCCTTAGTTAATCATATTCTTTTGGATACGATGGCTATGCTTTGGCATATTTTTTTGGATTAGGTTGTAAATGTTATGAATGATGATTAACATTTTCTTTACTTATGGATTATATTAGTTGCTCTCATGATGTGAATGGTTTTTAAATAGTAATGCCGTCCAAGGTGAATTTTGGGGTGTTACATGTTCACTTTAGGTCCTGAAATGTCATCACTTAAACTCCATCAAAGCATAATTAGTCCCAAAAAGGCATAAAAAAAAAAGCTAACTTTAAGCACTAATTAGCTACCATTGCCTAGAAAGATTTATTTGGAACAACCCCTGTCAAGATCCTACATGAACCAAGTATTTAGCTTGACGATGACCAAACCATGCTAGTCGATGAGTTCACCTTGTGGATGGACCCCATCCCAAGTGATAAGAAAGAAGTAGCAAAGTTGAAAAACATGGCCGTGAGGTTCACCATTATTCAAGGTAGGTTGTGCAAGAGAGGTTTTTCCTTTCCACTAATGAAATATGTTTCTGAGATGGAGAAAAATTATATCTTGAGAGAAATCTACGAAGGCATCTGTGGAAACCACGTTGGAGCACGGACCTTGGCCAGCAAGGCTCTCCGACAAGGATATTTCTGGCCCATAATGGCCAAAGACGCGAAAGAAATGGTGAAAAAGTGTCAAGCATGCCAGATTCACAGAAACCTTCCACAATATCCCCCGGATCAACTCACTCCCTCATCAGCCCGTGGTTGTTTTAGTAGTGGGGCCTAGATATCATGGGGTCCCTACCAGTTGGCGTCGGACAGTGTAAATTTGTCATAGTTTTTACTAAATGGACAGAAGCTGAAACATTATCCAAAATAACTGAGCAGAAGGTCAAGAACTTCATTTGAAAATCGATAATTTGTCACTTCAGCATCCCCAGAGCAATAGTTTCAGATAATGGAAAGCACTTCAACAACTCATGATTCACGGGATTCTGTGCAGAGCTGATAATCAAAAACTACTTCTCAGCACCTATGCACCCACAATCCAAAAACAGGCAGAGGTTACCATCAGNGATAATCAAAAACTACTTCTCAGCACCTATGCACCCACAATCCAAAAACAGGCAGAGGTTACAATCAAAGCCATAAAGCTGACATTGAAGACAAGGTTGGAAGCCTCCAAGTTCCAATGGGTTGATCACCTTCCAGCGATGCTACAAGCATATTGAACAACGATGTGAACAACAATAGGAGAAACCCCATTCAGCCTTACCTATAGAACTAAAGCCATGGCCCCAGTCGAAGTCGACTTGCCTTCAGCGAGGGCCGAACTCTTTAATCTCGAGCAGAATGAAAGGTCTCTGCTCGTCAACCTCGATCTTTTGGACGAGAAAAGGGACGAGGTGCTACAATGAATATTTTCTTACCAAATGAGTACTTTAAGATATTATAACTGACGAGTAAAGAAGAGGAGCTTCAAACCAGGCGATTTGGTCCTCAAGAAATTGCTCCCAGTAAGAAACGACCCCTCCCACAGAAAACTTGGACCAAATTGGAAGGGACCATACATTGCGAAGAGGGTGGTCCGACCTGGTAACTACAAGCTATAGATCCAAGAAGGCAAAGACTTGTAGCATTCTTAGAACGCATACCATTTAAAGCAATATTACCAGTAGAACTATGGGAAGCTAGTTGTAGTAGAGGAGGAAAGAATGTAAATTTTTTGCTCTCAATCAAAGAAATTTTCATAGTCTTAGCCAAGAAAGTTCACACATTATCCAAAGATTTCTCTAGCTCCCAAAAGCGATGAGGGTTCTTTTAGCTTGAAAGTCGCAAGCTACTCCGTTGCGCAACCTCGACTAGGCTTTTTAGCTCGGAAGCTGCTAGTTCCTCAGCCGCGCGACCTCAACTAGACTTTTTAGCTCAGAAGCTGCGAGCTCCTCAGTCACGCGACCTCAACTAAGCTTTTTAGTCTAATAGCTTTTTAGCTCCGAAGTTGTGAGCTTCTTAGCTGCGTGACCTTAACTAGGCTTTTCAGCCTAGGAGTTTTTTAGCTCGAAATCTGCAAACTCGTCAGGTGCGTGACCTCGACTAAGCTTTTCAACCTAAGAGTTTTTTTAGTTCGGATGACAACTTTTCAGCTTGAAAGTCGCAAATTCCTTAGTCGCACGACATCGACTAGGTCTTTCAGCTCAAATGAGAGCTTTTTCAGCTCGAAAGCCACAAGCTTCTTAGTTGTGCAACCTCGACTAGGCTTTTCAGCTCGTTCCTTGAGAATCCAATGACTTATAACCCCCTAAAGGGCCAAGCTAAATAGAGCTCAAAGCCAGTCAGTTAAAATCAACAGCAAGTGAAAGGATAAGTCCGACATTAAAAGAGAAAGCCAAATTATATTCATAAGTATGGCACGAGTACAAAAGAAAAGATGGAGGAAACAAAAAAGAGTATAGGCGCCCCTAATCTTTTGCTTCAGGCCACAAACGAGCATTATTGACCTTCAGCTAATCTCAATCCTTTTGAGCCTCAGAAAGCTGATTCTTGAGCCTTGATTTCCCCAACGCTAGCTCCAACTTGACAGTTGTCAACCATATCTCACCAGAGGAGGAGTCTGACGACTACAGCAGTAGGTCACTTTGTCGGCACTTTCTTGAGGAAGTGACGACATTCTCATCCAATTCAATTGGAGATGAGTTTGCATCAATAACAAGAGGAGGAAGGCTTGGAGAAGAAACCAGAATGACAGTCGAGTTGGGCCCAATCCCAAATTGGAAGAGGTTTTGAGATGTGACCAACGCGGGGAAAGAAGTTGCCTCAGCACGGGCAAGACAACCGACCCTGTTGATCTCGTTTGGGGTTAGACTGGGGTTATCTACATAATGCAAGCATGGTTAAGACTGCATAAAAATTACCAAGCAAAGAACCCCTCCAAAGCGAAAGGGGAAGAATAGAGAGTATAACCACTATTCTTTTACCTCTGTCTAGAAGACCCCCCCAAGAATGAGGAACCCCGACATGTTCAGACCGCGCCTCAGCAGATTCCTAGGAATCCCCAAAAATAAAGAAATAATGCTGGGTCTATCCCTCTAAAGGGCTAGGGGCATCAAGAACCAATAGGAGGTCAAAGTGCTACCTTTACATGAAGCGGCTAAAACAGGGGGCATGCCAAAATCAAAGTTAAAGAAAGAGAGGAACTCGGCAATAGTTGGAAAATCATCATAACCTTGCAGGTGCCAATAAATAAAGAAGTTCATCAGTGTACCCCACCCTTCAAGGGAAAGGTGCGAAGGGCACAGCCCAAAGAAAGCCAGTATATGCTCAATTGCTGGATGAATAGCAAACGGAGACCCATCTCGGATGTGCCTTTTAAAAAAACAAACTTCCCAACAAAGGAGAAGGTTGCAAGGCTCATCAAGCGAAGGAATTCGGATAGCTAGGCCATTAGGAAGATGATATTACCTCCTAACCTCCTTTACCTCCGGGGTAGTTAGGGCTTATGAATCATAGCTTGGCCGCGTTTCCTAAACAACGAAGTAGGAGGAGATGTCATGAAACCAAGGAATAAGTGAGACACAAAGGAAACTATAAGGGGTAAGAAGAATGCGAAAAGTAAGCCCTAAGGAGAATTGAGAACACGAAAAGCAAAAATTTCCAAGATAAAGAGAAATGAACGGCATGCAAAGTAGGGGTGCAACTTGGGTTGGGCAACCCGATTTCAACCCGAGCCCAACCCGAAAAAATTAGGGCTTGGACAAAGGTTTTTAACATTTGGGTTGGGTTTAGGTCAAAAAACCCCAACCTGAATTCAATTTGGGTTGGGCTCGGGTTAAGGCCTCGGGTTCACGAGTTTAACCTGAACCCGACAAAATAAAAAAATATTATATATATATAAAGCATTAACACTGATTTTTTATTTTTGTTTTATCATTCTCTATCTCTCTCGTTCATTTTCATTTTTATTCTAGCATTAGCACTATTAAAAACTTTGATAAAGTTATTGGTTGTTAATTTAAGTGAATATTATGTAATATATGAATTAAGTTTAGAACAACAAGCCTATTTTTGGCTCTATCCGAACTCAACCCGAATTGAACCCGTAAAATAACTTGAAATCAGTCCAAATTATTAACCTGAGCCCTCCCAAATTAAACTCGGACAGTGCTCAGGTTGAGTTTCTCAACCCGAGGTAGGGTTAGAGTTAGGGTTAGGGTTAAGATTAGGGTTAGGGTTGAAGATTATATACCTAGGGTTGATTGTCCAACCCGTCCAACTATACCTNGTTAGGGTTAGGGTTAGGATTAGGGTTAGGGTTGAAGATTATATACCTAGAGTTGAGTTAGGGTTGATTGTCCAACCCGTCCAACTAGCCCGAGTTGCACCCCTAATGCAAAGACGAAGGGGCAACTGTTGCACTCCCATAATCATGGCAAGAGTTAATGAAGGTGGCACTCTAGAAAGGTAGGTGAAGTTAGGTGGGAACAAGTAACAATTCATTTATTGCTCTTTCACCTGACCCCGTACACCTTTATCCATGAATGTACTACACTAGTGGAAAAGAACAGCTAAGCAGAGCTGACAAAGTGTCAAGGAGCTTAGATACATAGAGCTCGAAACTACATAGTGCAAGATTATTAAAATCAAGCTTGGCGGCAAAGGAGTAGCTAAAGCAGCAACCATACTCCAATCATGTCAAGACCTCCTTGGAGTAGAGGGTAAGAGGAGGACACAACGAACAACAAGTAATTAGCAACACTGGGAAAAAATTTAAGGTGTTTTTCATTTCAATAAGCAAGAAAGTTTGCACTTTACACAAAAAAAACAAAAAACAAAAAATAGTAATGTTAAGAGCAACAAAGTTTTCAAGGTTGGTTGGATGACGGGGTAGCACCATAAGGACCGCTCAGAGGAAGGTCGAATCGAGGGTCAAACTGATCTAGGCCAAGTTCAGGAAACTTCTCAATTGCCTAGTCCTCAAAATTGAACTCCCTCCTGGTCTTCTCGATTTCCTTGCACTGTTCCTCGACCAACTAGTGCTCAACAATCAAGGAATCCTTCAGCTCAGCAATCACCGCACGAGACTCATCTACTTAAGCCATCAACACTACCTTGTTGGTTTGATAAGAGATCAGCTCGTCGGTTTGGGCATCAAGTTCCTGCTGTAAAGAGGCCAATTCCTCTGATTAAGTTATCAGCCGTTCTCGCAAAGAGATCTCTGAGGTGGCAGTGGTAATCAACTGCTCGAAAGTCATCTCTAGCTCAAACTCCATAGCCAGACCCCAGCACAGAAGCTCATTGTCCCTCCTTCGAGCCTCCTCAAGCTCAATATCCCTCCTATGGGCCTTTCCCCTCAGATGGTGGATCTCTTTTCCAAGGGTGTAGACACGCGTCGCTGCCTGAGACCAATATAGAAAGTTAAGTCATTACATGGTTGAAATAAGAAAAGTTGAAGACAGAAGAACATGAACCCTACCTCAAGAAGTGCGTGCAGAGATCTCGATTCCTAGCTTTGAAAGGTTGACTGACAAAGCGACGGAATTCAATCTGGGGGATCAACTTCATAAGGGCTCGGCTGCTTATAGCTACGGCATCTAGAAGGCTCCCCTCAAGATCCATGATAGGGGCCGGATCAGGTCGACCTGAGCTAGAATCTTCTACGCCAGCAGGAGAGGAACCATGCCAAACCGGCCCTCCCTTTGGACCACATACCACTATCCCCACGGTTGCCTCTTCAGCACTAGACATTGGTGCAGACGTTGGTGTTTCGATAACATTGGGTGGAACCTCGAGTGTAACAGGGAGGCTCGACACTAATGCGGGCGTTAACGTTTAGGCAACACTAGGTGGAACCTTGGGACAGGCAGTTGAGCTCAACGCAGGAGTTGAGGGACAGGTGGGAGATAAGCTATCCTTCAAAAGTTTGGCCCTATTTGCCGGAGATCCTAGGCCCTGAGTTCGCCTCTTTTGGCCTACTTGCTTCACAATCACATCTCTTTCGCTGATCAAATACGCAGGGACTAGACAAGAAGGCAACACAAAGGTAAGCTTGAGAGAACTCAACAGGCAGACACGTCACAACACAAAAGGAATAACAGATACTTACAACTGCTTGGGACCGTAGTCACCTCGAGATACATAAGCTCTGTATAAGAAAAGGGTAACCGAGCTTGAACTTGATTAACACCAATCAAGATCGGGTACTCACATATAACACAAAAGAATAGGGTCATAAGCCAAGTTAGACCCCGACAAATGTAGCATTGGCAATTAGTAAAAGAAAAACTCACCAAATCAGAAAAACTCACCAAGATGACCATGCCTCCCCCTGATCGTGGGAACTCTAACCGGCGACATCATATAAGACTCAAACTCCCACCTTGACCCAAATACAAAGAAGTATCTCCTTCTCTTCCCCTCAAGTTTGGGAGGAAGGTCAACAATAGGAATCTCTCCCCCCACCTTGGGGTGAAGTAGTAGAACTCAAACACTTCTGGCGAGCAAAATAAATTAAGAAACTTAGCTAGGGTGGCTTGAGGCTAAGTGAATATCCGCTCCCACAGCACGGGGAACACTAGCAGAATTGCCCACCCAACAGGAAGTAAAATAGCGGGGCAAAAATTGAAGAAATGAAGGACCTCCCTTGCAAAAGAAGGAATAGGGATCGAAGCCCCAATTGGAAAGGGACTTCAAAGAAACAGATCCAGTCCCTCATGGAACGATGGTATGGATGATGTTCAGCTACACGGATGGCCACTCCGCTAGGAAAAGAGAAACGACTAGCATTTGCTTGAACTTCCTTGCCACCAATCTCGCTAGTTTCAACTTTAGGATAGATCAACTGTTGAGAGTCGTGATAAGAGGTGGGTGTTCGCGCCATGAAAGCAAAATATGAAACAAGTCAAAGAAAGGAAACCTTAAAGAAGAAATCCAGAAAAAAGAAGGAAAAGCTCCAACACTAAGGTAAAAAGTCTATTCACAGAGGGGCTATTTATAGAGTTCGGNAAAAAGAAGGAAAAGCTCCAACACTAAGGTAAAAAGTCTATTCACAAAGGGGCTATTTATAGAGTTCGGAAGTAGGAATACATCACATTTGCAGGGTACCATTAATATGCATCAATCATATTTAATGCCATAGACACGTGGCAATCGTAGGGGAAATGAGCGCTACATTTTAGGAGCCATTACCACCACCGATGGCACATTTTCCCAATTGTATGAAACCGTCAAGTTTAGAATACACAAAAATAAATGGGAAATGTCCAAAATAACCCCAATAATGCAAGCTAGCTCAGTAAAGGGGGAGCCTTGGTTCCATTAAGATCGGGATAATCCTTAGCAGAACATCATGGTCACAACACGACACTGGGCTCCACCTCGGCAATGTGCCAAATGGGAACATAACCAAAAAAAGGCTTTATTGCCCACTGATTTTAAAAGAGACAATACAAACAACACATGCACACAAAGAAGAAAGGGTTAGCAAGCAAGTTAACAAACTGAGTTTTCATTGAACGGGAAGAAAAGTACACAGAAAGGAAACGTCCAGTACATAAATTAATTACAATAAATAAGAAATAGCAACAATCGAAAGTGAAGCTCAAACGACGGGTTCCCTGCCTTCACCAACCACCTCAGCAACGGTCCCCTTGTCTATACTAGCCATCTTAGCACCCGAATCCTTGTCCTTATATGTTGGCCTAGTAGAGGCTTCTTTATCGGCACCAACTGGCTCAGTTGTAGTCCCTACAGCTGCATCCGTCAGTTTCTTTACCTCTAGCTGGGACATGAAGGAATCTAGGTCGACATCAAGATACCCGTTCTTGGCTTGCTCTTGGAAATTCATAAATCCCTTCAACATGGCAGTAGCATTCTCTCTGAGTAGCTCAGCGACCTTAACCTTCAGAGATGCCACCTCGACCTTTTTTGCTGCCAGCTCATCGTCCCTGGCCTTCAACTAAGCATCCTTAGCCTGGCGGATTATTGGTAGCGGGTGTTCAAGTAGTCATAAATCCTCTTTAGCTCGACCACCTCTGCAGCCAGGACAACCACCTTTCCTTCTACAATGCCTTTCCCCGCCTTTGCAGCCTCGACAACGTTTCTTGCCCTTACTAGCTCCTACTTCTTTGCAAATAGCTGAATCATGAGCCTATCGTGGTAAAATTCAATCATATTTACGCACTTCAACAACTGATGAAAGAGAAAATAGTTAATACAAGCATGAGACAAAGATGCGCCAAAAAGGATATTCCAGTAAAGAGGAAAAATCATAAAGGTACCTTAGCCAAATCCTAGATAGCGTGTTTGGTCTTTCTCTTTAAGGGAACCCGTATGGCCAGCTCGGGGTTCGATGTTGGGACTTGCTTAGCCAGAATGGTCATAGCGACCTCGGGATCATGAAGGAACATGCTCCCTTGGGCAGTTGGCTGGGGAAGACTAGGTTCTTCGTTTCCCTCCTTCAAAAAATTTGGTTGGGGGAAGAACAAGAGGCACTTCCGAGAGTGGGTCGCTTTGAAAAAATCATCTTCTTAGTGGGCTCGAGGGGCATGGAAGAGGAGATGGTACCCTTAAGAGAGGCTAAGTCCGCATGCTTCTACTCTAGGAAAGAGAATGCCCGCCCTTCCTCGTCTTCTCGGCATTGGAAAAAGCCGCCATAATAAGGTCAGGATCCACTTGTTCAAGTAGGTCGACAGGCAAGGGTTCAGGGATACGAGCAGGGTGCATGTCCACTAGGGGCCCAAGTTCGTATTTGGCATGGTTCTCCTCAGTCACAAAATCCAAAAAAGACCTTAAACCAAAAGCCTCTGCCTTGGCCACCGTAACAGTTTCTACGGTGTCGAGAACCAGATAGAAGCCTGAAGATCAAATCACAAGTTAGAATAGCAACCATGAACTAAAGATATTGCCAATAGATATATAAGAAAAAAATATAGTCGGTTGTTAGTCTTACGAGTGTTCCTTGGGACTTCCAAGGACCGAGGAATGCGAGGAATGTCGTCAGGTACTCCTGACAATTTTGAAGAATCACCTTCAACAAAAAAGAACCTCAGCTTCCATCCCTTGTTAGAAGATGAGAGCCCAAAAATCAAACTTTTCGCCTTCATTCTCTTAGCAAAGTATAGGAAGCCCAGCAAATGAGAGGATTTGAGCTGGAAAATGGAGGCAAATTCACGAATTGTGGGTGGAAAGTTATTTCCACTCTCAAACCAATGTATGAGGAAGCTGACCAGTAGACCCTAGCCATTTGGAGTCACCTGAGCTGGGCAAACATTATAGAAGGTGAGAATGTCCCGGATGAAAGGGTGGATAGGAAACTGAAGGCTAGCGTGAAAAGCTGACTTAAAAAACTAGGTCATTCCAGGAATGAAAGAATTGCACCTCTTATCCTCAGGAGAATGGAGTAACACGGACTCCGAAAAGGAATATACCTCCCTTAGATCATCCAAATCCTCCTCGCTGAGATGACTCAAGGTTGACTCTTCATAACACTCAGGTCTGAAAGATCCCAATGAATTTTTCTCTTCTTAGGGGCAGAAATTGAAGAACCCCTGGGTCTTTTCTTCTTAGGATGACTAGGGGGAAAGAGGAGCAATGGTAAAAGAGCCTCCCTTGAAGGGTCCGAGGTCGAAACCTCAAGAGCCGACCCTAAGACCTCCTCAGTTGGCACCATGGGAAAGAACTCAAAATTTTCTGCTAAGGATAAGAAAATTTGGTTGTCCCCAACTAAAACATCACCAGTAGTGGGGACCTCTTCCCTGCTCGGGGGAGAGAACACCCCTTCCTCGGAATGGCCACTAGAAGAAGCCTCAGAGACTTCTTTCGTGCCTTCATCAACTTCTTCTTCCTATTCCAAATCAAAAACCACCCTCCCCATTATTAGCCCAAATTGCAGCTCAGAATGTAAAGGGGCCAAATGTAAAGAACAATCCGTTAGGAATAAGGGAGTTAGACACCAAGTTCTAAGTAAACATAACCTCAACATAAGAGTATAATCTACAAATTAAAAAAGAGATGCAAAACTACCAAAATGGTTCCATAAGTAAATAAATCTCCAAATAAGGAAGCGAAACTCGAAACCCCACCAGAGAGAGTTAAAGGGATCCAGATTGAAGAAAAAAAGGGGAAGGAAAGGACATACCTAACCAGAAGCTAGAGTGGAACCACAAAAGAACGAAAAACACATAATCCCGGACCACCAAGAACTTAAGACAACCGCCTCGAAACCTAAAAAGAAGAAGAAGAAATGTGAGGAGATGGAATTTCAAAATGTCAGTGGGAAAGGCAAATAGGATTTTTCTTTTTTTTATATAGAGCATTTATTACCACGATGAGATGTGGAGAAAGATGTGTAGAGGAAACCGCTTTAAGGGATCTTCTCCCAGATGACACATGTCCTACCTCGAGCACACTAGTCCAATCAAAGCTGGTGTGGGTTAACCAAACACGTACTTAGGGCACCACCAACAATCATGTGAAGCTGTTACCCACGGAAGCAGTCTTGACATTGGAAAATTTTGATGCCATCATGGTGACCTGGGGCTGGAGGCAACTAATAATGGTCAGTTTTTGGCTTGGGCTACCCACCAACAAAAACCCAGAGCATCCAATGGGCCCCCTTGGTTACATGGTAGCCGAATGACCCATCTGCAGCCTGCTCACCCCGTTGTAAGAATGAGTCACAATCCAAAGAAGAGAGTCCAGTGACATACAGGTCGGTATGATCCTACTCGGCCACATCTAGCTCGAGAACAAAAAGCTCAATACTCGTGACCAAGGGATAGTTTTTGGAGCCACTAACGAACACGTACTTTTTGGAAAAGGGAATATTGGTGCACATTCCATTTAAGGATTGAAGGCACGATTTGCATCAGGGTGGCATGTATCACTATAAGACAAAGGAAAAGAGGACCACAGAATCAACAAAAGGAAGGAAAAAGCCATAAAAAACTATAGATTAATTATGAAAAGAGTACNTTCTTTTTTTTATATAGAGCATTTATTACCACGATGAGATGTGGAGAAAGATGTGTAGAGGAAACCGCTTTAAGGGATCTTCTCCCAGATGACACATGTCCTACCTCGAGCACACTAGTCCAATCAAAGCTGGTGTGGGTTAACCAAACACGTACTTAGGGCACCACCAACAATCATGTGAAGCTGTTACCCACGGAAGCAGTCTTGACATTGGAAAATTTTGATGCCATCATGGTGACCTGGGGCTGGAGGCAACTAATAATGGTCAGTTTTTGGCTTGGGCTACCCACCAACAAAAACCCAGAGCATCCAATGGGCCCCCTTGGTTACATGGTAGCCGAATGACCCATCTGCAGCCTGCTCACCCCGTTGTAAGAATGAGTCACAATCCAAAGAAGAGAGTCCAGTGACATACAGGTCGGTATGATCCTACTCGGCCACATCTAGCTCGAGAACAAAAAGCTCAATACTCGTGACCAAGGGATAGTTTTTGGAGCCACTAACGAACACGTACTTTTTGGAAAAGGGAATATTGGTGCACATTCCATTTAAGGATTGAAGGCACGATTTGCATCAGGGTGGCATGTATCACTATAAGACAAAGGAAAAGAGGACCACAGAATCAACAAAAGGAAGGAAAAAGCCATAAAAAACTATAGATTAATTATGAAAAGAGTACAAATTGAGGATACCTCCTACAAGAATAAAGAATGAACGTTTCTGATAAGAGTGAGCTCTAAACTTGATCTCCCAATCTTTGCTTTCTGCAAAACGAATAAACTGTCCAAGATCGAAGTGCTTCAATCGAAGGCACTCCGATGCTTAAGTCAATAATGGAACTTAGACAATTGCAAGAAGATAAGGAGAGTTCAACGTACCTTTCACCTTGACTCCTTTTGCTTTTTATAGACCCTTGTTCAGTTAGAGTTTCCATGAATTTCAATTCAAGGTGGCACACCTTCCTTAAATTAAGCGATTCAGTTTGGGAAGCTGCTGAAATCTCTATGACAGCTCCCTTGGCCTACAATTAAGCTTATTAGCTTATCTTGGATGCATAAGTTTTTGGCGAATTTTTATCTTTCCATTTACTGTTTCAAACAGTTCGATCATGACGAGGGTCGAGTTCATTCCTTCATTTTCGAGCTTTTCAATCAGCTCGACTGTCGGATATTATTCTCTGCTCGGCCGGGGCAACCTAGCTATCTGTTTGGCCGAGTTTCATCCTCTACTAGGTTGGACCAATTTTAGCTCGGCCAGGATAGCCTAGCTATTTGTTCGGTCGAGTTTTATCCTTTGCTAGGTTGGGCCAATTTTAGCTCGGTCGGGATAGCCTAGTTATCTGCTCAGTCGTAGTACAGTCGTTCCAAATAACTATTTTTAACACATGCAACCTGCCATATGCCCAAGTCTAATTGTCAGATGATGATAAGAATTTATCAACCCCTTCATTTGCCCCCAAAGAATATTTTTCATGTGGCACACTAAGAGATATTCTTTGTCTACAATCCTTTCTTTCATTAATTGCCTTGTATTGTTCCTTATGAAAAGGCCCTTTCTGTGCCCCCTTCCCTTAGCCAAGAGGACCTACCTCGCTGAAGGGTTCAAGCATCAGTTCTTGGTCACTTATTGTGACCCTTGCACTGATCTGCCAATGTAATCGGTCTTCAAACTTTACGCATTTGTCTTACACCATCGTGCCTAGCCATAAACCTAGGTTTGATCGGATGACTGCACCTGAGCTAGATCTCTGCCTCTGTCAGGATTTTTTTCTCACTGCCTTAGCAGTAGGTTGGCCTATGCCCGAGCCTTCTCAGG